TATTATTATTATTATTATTATTATTATATATATTTTTATGAGAATGTGAGGAAAAGATATTGATTTACTCAACACAAATAACAACAAGGTACATGCAATCATTTATATAATGGGTAGCATACAACAGAGTGGATCATTGTAAAAGCAATGTGCATGAAAGGAAATAACATCTAAAATTTTGATGATTTTAGTCATGGCCATGGCTTCTCAGAGTAATTGTTATGGAAGGCTGAAGCATTTGTTCATGTTGCTTAGTTGTTGTCTGCAAGTTGAAGTCAACAAAGGAAAATATTTAGAAATCTACCACATTTAAATTGTATTCATGTAAATGAGAATAAATTTTCTTCTATTATATTCTATTGATCATTCTATTAATATAGTTTTTTAATTGTAGAGGTATGTCTGATCACCTCTCAAAATTATTCAGATTTGAGAGTTAAATCAAATAACTTGTGTTTGACATTGTTGTCTACTCATCTACAAGTGATTGAAAAGTTGGTATTTATTACATTCAACAAATGTATTGTTTAGTTTGCATATGATTAGAAGAAAAAAAGCACAAAAGTTAGAGCATCACGTAACATACTTTCATCATCATCATTATCATGTTAATGATCAACAGATTTAGGCGGCCTCAATGCTGCTTGAGGAACCTCATCATTCTTTGCAAACCTTCCTCGAACTCGATGCCTGCTATCAGCTAGAGTCTTCCTACATGCATACTATAACATTTTTGTTTCATGTCAGTGATAATGTAACATAAACATCATAAATTAAAGCATTTTCTTTGAAACGTCTCAGCTACATTTACCTTGATCTTTTTACTATAATTTCTTGCAATTTTCTTCTCCATGTACCTACTTATCTTCTTCTTCTTCTCCTCTAATGTTAACTGGGGAACCTTAAAGCTTGTTTCCTCATATGATGACAGATCAATAGATGTCATTGGTAATGGACCCGTGCTAGTGTTACATGCGGCCATTAGCTCATTGGAATCACTTAATACCTTTAGAGAAATTTTGATTATAATTTAAATAAACAACTTGGAATTCATGAGTGATGGATGGATATATATACCTGTAAGTCTCTTAGATCATAGGCTGACTGCATGGGTGCAGTAGAGTATATTCCTAAGCTGCAGGGTTCCATAGCCTCTAGTTGTCTCGCAGCTATTCCAGTATCAGCAAAGATCCCAAAACCAACACCTGCTCCATCATTATAATGCAGCCCACCAAATCCAGTTGCAGCATCGGTGAAAGAGCAAGTATTGAATGTTGATGGGTCCATGCCCAAACAACTTGATAAATTCATGGCATTCTGGCTTACAATCGGGTCTGGTGAGTAAGATGTATATGCAGGAGGAGCAGAAATGAGTTGGTTGAGTTGATTTGTGTGATAAATTGACGCCATGGGTAGACCTGAAGGTGGTGGTGGTTGGGAGTTGAGGAGAG